TTACATTGATGGAAAATCATAAAAAATATAGTGGTCTTATATTTAATCTGAAAATCATTCTTAACCAACGTGTTATAGGTTTGTTATTTCGAGACAGGTATAGTGTGAAACTCATTGAAAATTTTAATGATAGTATAGGTGTTATATTATATAGCTGATGAATTTGGTTCTATGAATACAGTTTTTATGGAATTTAATCCAAAACAATGTACATTCTATAAAGTATTTGCTATAAGAAAATGGTATATAAATAATTCGTAATAAACATAATAATATTATACGATAACATTGCTTTTTTATATTTCAATTAAACACAACGATTCCTATCTGAAACATTTATACAGGAAAAAAAAAAAAAGTGCACAATAAACAAATATAAATATATATATATATAGGTACTTATATGGCTTTTGCATTAATTATTCTTAATAATTTCTACAGTGATGTTTACAAATTGAATATATATATATATATATAATATTTTAAAAATAACTGGTAGGATTATTTAGTATTGTACTTAAGAAACTCTGTCATAAAACTTTTATCAAAATCTGACCATTTACGTCCTTCGCCATCAACCTCAAAATCAAGTTCTGACCACTCCATAGTTTCTCCAGGTTCATATTCCCTATAAAAATTAAAAGTAAAATAATTTGAAAAGTAGACAGTTTTAATAACTTACTCTATACTGTAATGTCCATGAGCTAAGGTATGGATTTTATCGACCAATACCACTCGCTTATCATCGTAATTGTTGTATGTCAACTTTTTCGTTTTTATAGTCATAATTTGGTGTTTGAACGATCTGATTGATACATTTTCTTGATATGCCTCCACTCCAGCTTCTCCAAACAAACACCTTTTATGTTCCTCCAACGTCATATGGTTTTTAACCACATGTTGCCTTATCCCCTTAGCCTTGATCTTTTCACCACCAACTTTATCCTTATCTCTCACCGCATCCTCTTCTCCTGCATATATGTTATACGCATATGATTTAGCCCTTAACCCGCAGAACTCTGTAATTATATGCCCGTTAACTTCGTCGGAGAAGAACCCAGGGACCTTCCTCCTCACTGTGGTGTAGCACGGATGACTAGGAGACAAGTCAGATGTGTCTACTCTATTCAACAAGTTAGAGTTGTCAAGTAAGTCTTTATAGAAGTCGTCGGTTTTAATAAGGTATATCAATGAATCTGTAATAATGATATTAATTATTATATTATATATATATATATATACAAGAGGTTAGTTTTAATATATTTACCAGTATCAGTATACATAAGCTCGATATTATCATTATAATGTTTCTTCATAACATTATAATGATAATCGTACATCATCGTCTTGGAAATATCAAGTACAGCAAATCCTAAATAAAAATAAATGTGTTAATATAATAATTGTATAATACTTAAATTTAAAGTATATTTACCAATATATATAGGTTTGTCAAAAGTAATGATCTTGTTTTCCAGTGCGACCGCGTTCAGGTTTTCACTATAGCTAGTCACATGCTTAAATGTCGTTTTATTAATAAGTTTTTGTAATCGTGTCTCACATGACACTAACTCCATCTTCATTTCCTTCCTTTTCGATTGCATAGTTTTCCCTAGAAAATTAAAAAAAACTGTTGGTAAAATAATTAAATTAAATAAATAAAGTAACATACCAAATACTGCATTGTTCATTAATTTAAAAAAATCTTTTTCAAACTCATTTTTCGCCTTCTTCCTCATCTCTGTATTCAGGTTAATATATTTTGACAACCAATCCGACTGATCGAACTCTAAAACTCTGTGTACCTATATATATATATAAAAAAAAAAATGTTAAAAATAGTTAAAAATCTTATAAAATATAAATATTTACCTTTTCAACTATTAAACCATTCTCTATAGCCTGCTGTAGGTTTCTATAATGAATGATGTAATTTTTCTTCTTATCAAACGTTGTCATCAGTTTCCGTACTTTAGATCCACGCGGTATACTATTTTGCGGTAGGAAAGGGAGGTCATTATGCTTATCATGCAAATGTTGTGGATACGTTACATCTATCTCATACACTCGTCCTTTACCAGATTTCGCCTTCATCTCATTCAATCCATCTAAACTGGGTTCAACCCAGTTGAACCCACCGTACGGCATGTACTCTGACATTGCCCACCCGTACAAGTTGTTACCTATAAAGTATAAAAAAGATTAAAAAGTTTGAAAAAATTAAAAATTAAATATATTCTTACAATCCTGATATATAATCCACGATTTCTCCTTAGTCTTGTCATAACCCGGTGTCTTCACATTGTTCGCCTTCGCGTGCCGCATACACGCCTGCACCAATCCACCACGAATACCTATACAAAATATATATATACAGAGATTATTATTATATATTTTTTTAAATAATATTGATATACTAACCATTCTCAAACATTAACAACATATTGTAATCAGACAACAACGCTAACTTTTGACCTGTAAACTTCAACATAGCGTCAAAACTTAACCCGGGTGCGGTGAAGTAGTGTGCTGCGTCCAAATTGTATGTTGACATACATAGATCACGGAAGTTTTCAAAAACATCCGCCAACAGCAACACATCGATTTTCAAATATAAATCTGAATACTCACCCAACGTGTTACATCCAAAGTGGTCCCAGACCTCCTTTGCGTGTTCAAATTCTGACTCCTTAATTCCTGACTCGGTCAATGTACTATAAAATTCTCTCTTTCGTGGTAGTACCTTATCGTTCAACTTGTTCCAACTATCAGTGTACTCATACGGGTATACTCCCTTCCGCGTTACGAGTGGCATATCTCCGACGATAAAATGTTTCGCTGTCTCACGGAAGTTCTCAAGGCCTGGTGTTATTAAGTTTTTAGCCAGAGACGATAAACTCGATGCCATGAACCTGAATGTATCGATAAAGCGAACAGTGAAGGTACTACTAATATATTTTGAAAACGATATAAATTTTTCCTCACTGTTCGGGATAACTGATATAGACTCGGTATCATATCCAAGTTCGGTAATTATAAAGTGTGAGTCGTAGTTAGATAAGTTATGGAAAAATATGGGGACAAATTTAGGTTGTTGTAACCCTAAGTTACACTTCGAGCACAAAGTTTGTCTAAATTTGCCCGTCAGATGATCGTGATCCATAACTTTATCGCCTCCGGCTAAACTACATTTACACAGATTACACTCGGTACACACTTGATGTGTTTTTTCTTGGTTTTTAGTCATAGTCAAAGGTATATTCGTCTTCATCAAGTTTTCGATTTTTCGGCTCACTTCAACTATCGCTTCTACAAAGTGCTTCGCCACGTCCTTACGGTCCTTGTCTCCTCTGTATAATACCGGTCCTGTCGGTATCTCGTACTCCTCCAAAAGTTCCACCGGTACGTTCGCATTCGCCTTCACCAAATATCCATAGCTCATCGCCTCATGTTTTTGAATTATTTTCGTGTTTTTCCCCATACTCTCATCAGTTTTTTCCAACAAAGATTCAAAATCCGCATATATAACAAATGGGTGTCTAACCGTATTTTTCCATAACTTGAATTCAAGGCAATCCCCCTCTTTTGGCATGTCCGGCCGTATCGGTTTGTGTCCCCCACAAATCAGCTTATGCTGCTCCAGTCCTGCTTGACCACCTAACTTGAATTTCAAACTTCGACTGTCGAATGACGTAAAACATCTCTTACAGAACACAACTCTCTCTGTATGCCTAGTTTTCTGCGCGCGAATGAGACGGGAAAAGTTCGATATATACACATAATGAGAGTTGTCTTTATCCTTTACCAACAACAGGTCAAAATGGTTAGCCTTTTCTTCATCGACTACACGTAATGGGTATACCTCATAAGTCGGATATTTCTTCGGTGGTTGAAACTTCTTTTCGAGTCCGTAAACATTTACAGACACTTTTGAGTTGTTTTCTTCGAATTTATGAATATCTGATATAGGTGTCGGGAACGTGATACCTTTAAAATTATATATGCTCTCATACTGTTTATAATTTTCTCCAATACGAAATATCCCCGCCCCCGTTACATGTTTTGCGAGAATCGCCCACTTAAAACACTGTTGGTCAACATTCTGCGGATTTATGGTAGCCCGTTTCCATTCAATGAACTTCGGTAATTGTATATACGACGAACCACTCATTGGCGTATATTTATATACACTGAGTAAAAGTCCATCTATTGACTCCATGGTGAAACCGCTGCCTCTCCCGCTGTACTCATTTTTCTCGTTCAACAAATTAACAAACGCCCTCTTTATAATGTCACTAATGTTACTTTCTGCAAACATTTCGACCGCCGATGTTTTAAACGCCCGGTTCTCTGACGAGTTTACTACGTTGGGGCGATTATAGGTAGCCTCGAGTTTAAGATTAAACTTAATAGCTCCTTGTTGAACACGCGTTTTTAATAGTTGATTTAGTTCAGGCTCGAGTGAGTGAATAAAGTCTATATAGTTCACTACCCCCTCTATATTTCTAGCATAGTACCAAACTATTTTTCGGTTCGCAGACGATGATATTTCTACGAACCCTGGTGATTTGACTAGATTCAATCTAACCCTTTTAGCATTAGCAGCCGACACCGTGTTGGCAGTCGAAACACGTTTCCCGTTAACGGCAACGGTGTAAGAATCTTTAAAATAAAAATAAAAAAAACCTATTATTAATATCTAATAAAATTAATACCGTATCTATTAGAAATCTAATTAACCTCACGAATCTTAAAAAATAGAAAAAAAATCTACTGATATAACTACAAAGTTAAAAAAATGTTGACATATAATAAAAATCGCGTAAAAAAAAATAATAAATAAACCTATCAAACGATCTGACAACCGGTGCAATGCCGGAATACTCCAACTATTATACCATTGATCGTTTCACAGACCACTTGATAAGTTTAAAATGAAACTTTATATTTTAAAATAAATAAAATTAAACTTATGATTTATACGAATCTATAAAATAAAACTAACCTGTATTAGCGTCTTGAACTTCTTCATTTTCATATTCGTTCATGGCTTCCATACACATTTCGTCTTCGGTTAACATGTTCGAGCCACCGGCCGGGACATCAGGAACGAATATTTGCGGTGCAATCTGGATACCCCCCTGAGGTGGAATAGCTGATGGCGCGTACTTTATAACGCTCTCTCTAACAATCGGTGTAGCAATCGGTTGAGCGGGATGATGAGCGGATACGTTAACTACACCTTATGAAAAATAAATATATTCGATATAAATTAATATTGAATAGAAAAATAACATCTTATTAATACATACCATGAAAGTTCTTTTTATGTTTGTTGAGACCGGTCCTATAAGAGAATGTCGATGGACAAAAGGTACACGAGAACCGCAGACCTACATGTTTTTTTTGATGGATTTTCAAATTATGTTTTGCGGTGAAAACCGATGAACATTGATTGCATTTAAACATATTGAGTTTGTTTAAGGAAAAAACGAAAAATATAATATAATGTTTAAAAATTAAACACTGTGCAAAAATACGTAGTGGTAAAATAATAGTAGACAAATGTAAACGGTAAAATAATTGTTTGGAGACTTTAAAAACACGGAGCGTAACACATAAAACGTTGTACGTACAGGTATAGATATCTAGAACAGACTGATTCTATATCATTGCCCGATACAGTGTCTTGAGATTTTTTTTAAAGGTATGATAACATTTCGTGGGAAGATTCTGATTTCATTGTGTGTTATTCACTAATAGGTATTTTAATTTGTTGTTGTTGTTAAGCGATATAGGTAGGTACAAAATACATGATAATATTTTGTTATTATTTATAATTATTTAAAAATTATATTGCCCGATACAGTGTCTTGAGATTTTTTAAAGGTATGATAACATTTCGTGGGAAGTTTGATTTCATTGTGTGTTATTCACTAATAGGTATTTGTCGTTGTTAAGCGATTATGATATTTTTTAGTATAGATTGATTATTAATGTGTTATTCATTAACAGGCATGATAACATTTCGTGGGAAGTTTGATTTCATTGTATGTTATTCACTAATAGGTATTTTAATTTGTTGTTAAGTATAATACCTAAGAGTCTACAGGATAAATGTGTATTGATAACTGATAATATTTATAATAATATTAAATATATGTTGCTCACATAACGGATCGGAAGGGAGGTGGGGGGTTAATATGTATCGGTCACGTGATACGGGTTACGGTGGAGGGGTAAATAGGGGTAAATATACAAAATATATATATATTGGTCACGTGATACGGGTTCAGGTGGAGGGGTAAATATACGTCACACACGTACGCAATCATCGGCGGCGGATCAGAGGAGGCGGGAGGTGGGGTAAATATACAAAATATATATATATTGGTCACGTGATACGGGTTCAGGTGGAGGGGTAAATATACGTCACACACGTACGCAATCAAGGATCAAGAGTCTCGGAATCAAGGATCAAGGATCTCGGAATCATACATCAAGGATCAAGGATCTCGGGATCAAGGGATCATGCTTCAGAACATACATTTTCATACTACTAACGCATATACAATCGATACTCTACCTAATAGAATTAAAATGTTCGACGGTATTTTAAAACCAACTGTATAGTTATAATCTAAATCGCGATGTCACAGGGAAAAAAAAATGTTTACAATAGTAAATGGTTAACAATATTACAGTCGATATTACTATAATTTTATTGGTTATTGCTATGTCTGTTTGGTGAAAAACACAATATAGGTTTAGTTACTAACTTATAGTTATATTGACTAAATAAATATGTACACTAAATATTTCCGATAATTAGATCAACCATGTCATATCCAAGGTACCCACATTACATATAGTTATAATAACCATAATGCATCAACCGAGCTCATATGGTAACTTTATCTATGGTGTGTGGCTGTCACTATACCACGCCTACATTTTGGTGTCGAATAACCGTTTAAATGGTTTTTTTTAACCGCATTTTTTTTCCGTGCAGGAATAAGTGACGTATTCCCAAGTGTCCATGATACCGATATTATATTATAAATTTAAATCAGAAAACTGCAAACCCTGCACCCTCTGCGATGTCCATTACGGCGAGTATCACGTATGACCACACGCGAGGGTTAAGGATTATTTTAATTTAATGTGTAATGTTAAGTGTTATAGGTTGTTCTTATCTCAAATTGTTGCGTGCTATTAGGTTTAATCGCCTCGGTGCGCATTATTTAGGGTCGCCGAAATCGAAACCAACCCCTTTGAAGAAATCATAGTGCACATATAGGAATCGTTATATAATCGTCCTATAACCATCGAATAATTGGACAGAAAAAATCGTCGTAATACAATGACTGCAGAATAATGGATATGACTATGTGTGGAATAACATACGTGTGCGATGTAACATATTATTATTATTATTATTATTATTATTATTATTATTAACCGACACGGGAAAAGCTTTTTCCGAGAAGAGGGCTCGCTTATTGTGGTGCGTGGCAGTAATAATAATACTTTATTTGAGAGAAGAATGAATAAAACTTTGACGTGGATCGTTTTACACGTCAAATCACTCAGTATAATATTGTAGGACGCGTAAATCCATTCGCGGTGGTACACATGTCGGTGCTCGTTAACCATAGTATTTATTATTTAAACACGTGACGTTGGTTGCAAAAGCCGTTGTGAATTTTCTAGGCGTAAAATCTTTGGCTAACGGATAATGTCTCGGGAGAAAATGTGGGGCGATGCTTTGAAGACTGCGTGCGTCGGTTAGTTTTTCGAGATTGTTTTAACGAAAATAAATTTTTTAGTAAGCAAAATGTATTATTAATCTAAGACTATGTTTTCACTAATTTTTCATATAGGTTTTATATAATAATACGTTCAAAAAACGTCGAATCATTATTCTTAAATTTATATTTTGAGGTGCGATATGTACCTGTTCGCCTGTACGTTTTTCCCGTGAATATCAATAGTACTGAACCAACAATTATTGTTTATTCAGTTAATTTGTAGATACACTATAGTGTGGATAGGTCTAACAATATGACGTACCTCGAAGAACTTCCACGCTTAAAACCACGTGAACCTTGAAATATGCTTGAGAATAATAAAACGAAATTGGTCGAACACGTGGAAACGAAAAAAAATAATGTCGTTACGCGAGTGCCAATACACGATGTAAACCTATAAGTTAAGAACTCACGTCAAAATATTGTAGTGTTACACAAAATATGTGATGTTACGTCACAGTTGTTATAATATCAGAACTTGGTATACAACTTCCGTGTACTCTCAAGTCTCAATGCATGGTGGATATTTTTTTCGTCTCTAAATATTATTTTGTTATGTATTTATTATTACGCAGTCGATTTCGGTAAGATACGATATAAATGCGCATCGTACCTACGTTTAAAAAAAAAATTACCTCTTACACATCAACACAAAGGGCTAAGAAAGGCGTTAGGTTGATGTACGGTGGTTGTCCAGGGACTCAGTGGCTTTGGTGCAAGTGCGGTGGTAAACTGACAGGGCAACGGTGCAAATATCACTGCCCTCGCTGCAGCATCTGCCTGTCGTGTGAGGGGGTGGCGATACGGTTGTTATTCCGAATTTTCCGATCAAGGTCACGAGGGACGAAAGGTGGGTTCATGTGAGGGTGACATTCGGGGAAAATCTCCGCCACGCCAAGACGAAGGGTGAAAATAAACTGCGCCATAAGACGTGTGGAGACAAGACGACCTGCGGTGGCGTGTGGCGGAATTAAGATAATAATATCATTATTGTAATTTTTATTTTTTACTGTCAATCTTTGAATCGAGTTTGGTATTGTTTTATGACTTTAATAATATAACAATGTATTTTTTTAAACAGCAAAAGGTTTCGTTGATTTCAATATTATAGTACAACTCGACCCGACGAACGTTTTTTTTTCAAATGGACATTTTTTGATGTATGACTAAATGAATTAAATATGAGGTACCTATACAATGTACCAAAAAATATTCTTCAGTCAATAGAGCTATGAATAAAATAGGACGCATCAAGAAAATATTTAGGTATTATGCATAAGATATTGATAAAATAGGTATATCTTATTCAAATTTTCAATATAATTTTTTTTTTAGATTCTGAGTGGAACGATGAATGTATTGATTTTACAATGATGTGGGTATTTATATTTTTTTTTTCATTTTTGTGTGTGTATACACAATAAGTAGTCAAAATAATGCTTCGATTTTCAACTTCAGTTTCTTATTTTGTTCTAATTTAAAAACGAATAACTGTAAATACATGAAAATTTCACTGATTGTGTATTTTATCAATTCTTATACTTGATACAATTTTCAAAATATTTTGACTTGTTTTGAGCCGTTTACGGACAATTTCATATTCCTGTTTTTTTTTATTTAATACGAGGCTCTTGATATATTGTTACAAAAACAGTTGAAAAATATTAAAAACGCATCGGCAGCATTTTTATTTATAAGGATTTAAAGATCGAGTTTTGACAAAATTTATCAAATTGAAAATTGAAAAATTATTTTGTAATTAAAAATGTATAAAATGTTGAACTTTTATATCTAAGGATTGAAAATTTAAAACTAGATTCCACGTAAGTAGTTTATTCTGTTACCGAAAAATCTAAAAAATACATAAGCACATAAGCATTATTCGTGGGTAATTGAAACTTCTAAACTATACTATTATATATCTATTATAGTATCACGGTTTGTTGTTGATGTATAACAACTAACAAGTTATAAGTACCTGATGGCTATTGTGATATGATTAATTTGGAATTTATTATAGGTAATTTTTTTTGTTTAATACCATAGACAAGTATATAATATGTCTTATACCTAGACTGACACCGCTCAGAATCGTTTTTCTTATACAATGAATTAATTGATAATTAATTATGAAATGTCGTTAAATATTTTAATAATAAATCTTTGTCAATATTTCGTTTGTTGTTATATTTATTTATAAAGTATTATATTAAGTTGTTACGTGTTCAAAAATTATAACTATCCATTGCATTGTGTACGATATATATTTTTATTCAACGGCACATTATATGAGTTATCGACAGTCATAATCTAAAAATAATTTGCCTTTCTAAATAATAGTCAAATTGTTATTGGGGTCAGTTTTCACTGATAACTTCCCAGAGGCTAATAAGCGATCACTATAATTTCTCCAAAAAAGAATAAACTGTTAAAAAGAAAATTATAAAAATATAGAATGAATATTAATATATTCATAATAATATCTATTATATATAAATATGAAACGTATTAAAATTGGTATTGCGAAAGCAATAAATGTTGACCGCACAAAATAAAATACATAGCGTTGTAGTTATTTAATTCATTTTTAAGACCTTAGTTTTAGGTACCTTAATATGTGTATAGTGTGTACTGATTTCGGATATTGTGCACATATAT